ACTGTATTTTTATTTGTATTATTTTTTATTGCTGTACTGTTATTTTTTATTGCTGTACTGTTATTTTTTATTTTTTGAATTTTTCTGAACTGCAGTTGGTTGAATCCACTGATGCAAAACCAGAAGACACAGAGGGCCAACTGAACACAAGAAAAGAGAGATCAGCTTCACAAGCTTCACAAGAAATGTTAAATGTTATATAAAGACTGGATGGCAATGGTTCTTGATTCTGCTATCAAGTACAGCTGTAACAGTCTGAGATGCTTTCTATACTAAACAACCAGTAAGAGGATATATTCTAACACTTAAAAGCAAATCCCAAATACTCCAACCCCTAAAAATTCAAATTCTATTTTAACATGATTTTTTTATAACATTTGTGTTTTAAAGATTCTTCTTAAAAGACAGTAGCTTAAAACAAAACAAAAAAAACTGTGAATAAATACTGATTCTACTTAATGATATGCATGTGGAAGTGCTCAGAGATGAAATGGACTGATACATACAACTTACTTTGAAATGCATTAAAAATAAAATGGATTAATAGATGGGTGGATATATGATAAAGCAAATACAGTAAGACAGTAACAATCACAGAAACTAGGTGGTGGGTAGATGGATGTTCACTTTACCATTTGTCAATTTGAATGACTAAGAGACTGGCTCTCCAAAATAAAGAGTTTATTTGGGAATAGCAAGGGATTCCAATTCAGGATATGCATGCTGTGGCAGACCACAGGTACATCCAAGGGGGATGGGGCTGGGGCTGGGGCTGGGGCTGGGGCAAGTGGAAGCTTTTAAAGACAAAAGGAAGAATCCAAGTAAGCTGTTTTGAAATGAAGACCACTGGTTACAGGGGCTTATCACAGGAGGTGGCATTTGCTCATCACTGATACAGGTTGAGTATCCCTTATCTGAAATGTTCTAACAAGAAGTATTTTCGATTTTGGATTTTGGAATATGTGCATTATACTACAGGCTGAGCATCTCAAATCCAAAAACCCAAAATCATGTTGGTGCTCAAAAAGTTTTAGATTTCAGATTGTATAAAAATGTTCGTAATTTTTATAAAATTCACCTAGTAATCATTAAAAGTGGATCAGGATCTACTCTTTAAAATCAAATATAAAATATTCAGAAACAAGGTGATAGCATCTAAAACT